GCAAACTATTAATACAATTTTCTTTCATTCAGTACGTACCCATAAATACATATAAATACACATAAATACACATTATAGGCCCACTTTTTTTTCATTCCTAGTTATTGATAATAATATTAAAATATATTTTTAAATTTACAGTTCTAAAAGTTTTCAAAATGTAAAAATCCAATGCTTTAATAATTTATACATAATTATTAAGCAAATGACCCACTTTCTTTATGAAAAACGTCCAAAATGTAAGACACTTCTCACAAATTCGAAAGATTGGATCATTGACCATGATGCTATTATGAACGATAAATGTTTCAATGATTATATGAAATTGTTGGAAAACTTTGATAATAAGTTTTTTGTGATTTATATTAAAACAAAGTTAAACAAAACTAATACTATTAAAATGTAATATTTTTAGAGTGTATGTGATCAATTTATTTGTATCAAAAATTATATAAAAAATAGAGGATTTACTCAATACTAAAATAAACTTACTTTACAATCAAAATTGAATTACACTAATTAAATAATAATGTTAAAAAAATTATTTCAAAAAAATAATTTCCCTAATTGGAAATGTATTTTTATATAAAAATAAATGAGCCAATTAAAATAGTTTCAAAAATATTTCACATAAAATATTGAAAATTATAAATTAACAAAATTGTCAATGTCATTCAATAATTTTGCAAAATTTAATAATTTAGTCGCACGGGAACTGCAGTTACAAACATTGTTGGATTCAATGGTTGCACACAAATGGAGACAAAGACCCGAATGTAGGGAAGTGTTGGAGAAATACAATTAATGGTCTATTGATAGACACGTTGTTATAAATAATGTTAATTTCGATGAAATATTAAATACCCTTAAGAGCAATAATAACACATTTTTCTATGAATTCCTATCAACAATCAAATTAAACTCTATAAGAGTATCAGTCATTCAATCTAATCAGTAAAATACACATGTAAACGATGCTGGTGATAATTAACTATATTCAAACCTTCTAATTGTCTAAACAAGCAAACTGTAAACTGATGTATTTTACTTAATAATATATTTTCAACTGAATTTTGTATACAATTAATTTAAGAAAATTTATAATTACAATTAATTCTAATCATTTTGGTATAATGATTTTGTCATATTAAATGCAATTGTTAACTTTTTATTATAGAGGAAACCATTACTTGTATTAAAAATACAAAAATGTGTTACTCATCTAGCTGGATCAATTTACATCAGACACAAAAGGGAATAACAGAAAGGTTGCACTGACAGAGCCCACTATCAATAATACCGAGCGCAGCACCGGCAGCTCTGCTCATATCCAGTATCCTCCCGGCAACGAACGGTCCCCTGTCGGTGATCCTAACGACGACAGACCTCCCATTACACGACACCTCTACACATGTCCCAAATGGTAGGGTCTTATGAGCGGCCGTTAGGTTGGTTTGGCTGTAATTCTCTCTATCGGCTGTGAGGGCACCGGGAGGTGAGTCATACCACGAACATATTCCATCCTCACCTAGAAATGGGAATAAATTTAAAATTAAAATGATGTTTAATTACCTCAAAATTAAAATAGCAACTAGCATAAATTTGTTATTGTATAGACTTACCATAAGTTTGCGAAACTGTAATGAGAACCACCAAAGTTACCAATTTATACATGATTTTAGTTATGGGTTTATAATTATACTAATAAAACGATTGTATAATAATTATAACTATTAGGTTGATGGATTTCATTTTATATACAATTTGAATGTCCAATGATCAGCCAATCAGTGAAGCTTTTCAAGTAAAATGTCGAGTGTGTGAATATAGATGTTTACTAATTGCATAATTAGATAAATATTCAAGGGACATATTTTATTCTTTTGTTTAATTCTATAAAAAACTGTATAAATTTTATTAGTTTATAGTTTATAAATTGTTAAATAATTACTAGTTTTTAAGTTTTCATTGAAAGTTTCTAAGAATTATTATTTTAATAATTTATCTGGCATAAATAATTTCTTGAAAAATTTTCCTAGTCTAAAAATGAAATATACCAGTGTACAAATGTGTTTATTAAGAATTATACAGAAAATCTATTGATTACATAAACAAAGTAAATATGATATTTGATATTTCACTAATAATTAATTAACTTATTAAGAAATGATAAATATTTAGAAATTAATCAAAGTTCTATTGAAAAGTATTTTTCCAAAAACATTATTGATTTCATATGAAATGTACATGAAATTGATATAAATTATCATTATTTGCATTAATTGGACTGAACTTGGTTTTATATTAACTAGTTATTTGTTTTTGAAATCATATTAAATATATTAATTGTTATATCATATGAGAAAAAGATTTAGATGATTGTAGGCTTTAAATATGTTATAATATGAGTGAAATATCAAATATTAACTTTGTCTATTTAATCAATAGATTTTTAGTACAATTGTTAATTAATAGATTTGTACATTGATACATTTCATTTCTAGAATAATAAAACATTCTAAGGAATTAGTTTTATCAAGTACATTAAAAATAATAATTCTAGGAATTTAGTTTTGATGAAAACTCAAAAAATTGTTTATTATAGAGTTAAACAAAAGATGCAAATATGTCCCTTGATTATTTATCTAATTATGCAATTAGTAAACACCTAGAACAATTCACACACTCGATATTTTTCACTGTTAAAGGTTCACTGATTTACTGATAGGGTATTTCAAATCGTATATAAATTGATTTGAAAACAACTCGAGTTTATATTCATAATTATACTACAATTGTTTTATTAGTATAATTACAAACCCATAGCGAAAATCATGTATAAATTGGTAACTCTTGTGGTTCTCATTACAGTTTCTCAAACTTATGGTAAGTCTATACCAAAACAAACTTATGCTAGTGGCTATTTTAATTTCGATAAATTAATTAATGGTAATTTTCATTTTCATTTTATACCCATTTCTAGCCGAGGATGGTGTCTTTTCGTGGTACGACGCACCTGCCGGTGCCATCACAGCCAGTGGTGAACCCTTCGACCCAAACGCTATGACTGCCGCCCATAAGACCCTACCGTTTGGGACTGTCGTCCAGGCGTCGTGTAATGGCCGGTCTATCAGCGTTAGGATCAACGACAGGGGACCGTTCGTCGCCGGGAGAATACTCGATGTGACCCCCGCTGGCGGTCGTGAGCTCGGTATCATCGATAGTGGACTCTGTCAGGGTCATATTTAAATGAGCCTGAAATTAATTGATTCTGCTTACATGAATTTAAAAGTTTGTATTTTTCAATACAAGTATTTGGTTTCCATATAATAAAAAGTTAACAATTGCAATATAACAAAATGTTGAGAATTAATTATAAAAATAAATTTTGAAAATTTTAATAAAAACCAGTCCAGCATTACTGAGTAGGAAACATCGAGTCATGAATCTCGATTGAGTGGTTCTAATTGTTATGATTAGTTAGCCAGTAACA